TGTGTGTGTGTGTGTGTGGGGGGGGGGGGGGGGGGGGGGGAGGGGGGCGCATGTAGAGGAATCTTAAGCATCAAAAGTGTGTCTGAACTTGCCAGCCCTTAAGAAATCTCTCAGCCCTGAGATTCTGCAATGTATATATAATCTTGTGATGATTTAGCTTGCTTCTATGAGAATAACTATTATTAATATTACTCTTATTATACTTAAAATTTTTGAGTATTATATGCCAAGCAGTGTGTTCAGCTTTTTAGATGCACTATCTCTATGAGGTAGTTACTGTCATTTCCCATTCTATAGATAGGAAAATTGAGTCTAAGGGAGGTTACCAACATTTCTAAGGTCAATCACACAGATAGCAGGTGGCAGAGCTGGGATTCAAAAACTGTGCTTCTGACCGCACAGTCACAGAGATATACTTAATTCACACTTTTTTTCTTTTTCTTTTTTTTTTTTTTTTTTTTTACTTTTGCAAACTTATAAAGCTTATAGCAGTTTTACAGTCTCAGGACATTGTCTACTTACACAAAAAGCAAGGCTTTATCCTTTCCCATTTTTTTTGATGTTTATTTTTATTTATTTATTTATTTAATTTTTTTAAACGTTTTTATTTATTTTTGAGACAGAGAGAAACAGAGCATGAACGGGGGAGGGGCAGAGAGAGAGGGAGACACAGAATCAGAAGCAGGCTCCAGGCTCTGAGCCGTCAGCCCAGAGCCCGACGCGGGGCTCGAACTCACGGACTGCGAGATCGTGACCTGAGCCGAAGTCGGACGCTCAACCGACTGAGCCACCCAGGTGCCCCTGATGTTTATTTTTTTAAGAGAGAGAGACGGAGCGTGAGAGGGACAGAGGAAGAGGGAGACACAGAATCCGAAGCGGGCTCGAGGCTCTGAGCTGTCAGCACAGAGCCCAATGCAGGGCTCGAACTCGCCACCTATGAGATCACAACCTGAGCTGAAATCGGACACTCAACCGACTGAGCTACCCAGGTGCCTCTATCCTGTTTAATTTTTATTTGTTTGTTTGCTTGCTTGCTCTAAAGAATATTGAATTAGAATCGGAATCTGCATGATCATAGATTTTCAAGCTTAAATAAATTGGAGTGTGGTAAGAGCCTAAGCCATAATGAAATCACAGAGAATATAGAAGTACCGGGGTCCCCAACAACTGAACATTTAGACGGCTGATCAGCATTATCGAAGAGAAGAAAGAATTTGGTGTTCATTCATTTATTTTTTTTTCGATTCGACAAATATTTATGACCTTAAAACTATGTTGGGATGCAACAGAAGATATGCTGAATACATTTCTCATAAAACACAAGCACCCGTTCAGAGATGTTGGTGCAGACTACTCTCGGCTTCCCTACCAAGCTAAAAGAAGCATCTGTTTTCCCCCCCTAAAACTACACCTTACTCTTTCTTGAGAGCATTAAAACAACTATTCCAACTGGTTGACTGCCACGGTAATCTTTCAAATAAGCACAAAGCATACTTCTTGCCCTTTGTGCCAATTGCCCTTTTTACCATTGAAAGACATTACGAGGATGCTCGAGGTTCGGGAATGGTTCAGGAGGAAGGAGAGGAAGGCTGAGCTGCTAGAGGAAGGGATGAAGGGATGGAAGAGGAAGGAGCCAGTGAAGAAAGAGCTGGCAGCCTAAGGGACCAAGGAAGGGGCAGAATGAAGAGAGGGAAGGCGGTCAGGTATGGGTGACAAGGAGGAAACAGTGCTCTGGCACACGGCCAGAATTCAGAAACGTTGATCAGAGCCCTGCTCCGCCAGTAGAATTGCAGCTCAGCACCACCCGAGGCTCTTGCTCAAGCCAGGGGTCAGGACCTTCTCTAGAAAGTTCCAGACTAGAGGCAACTCAATCAGGACAGTGACCGTCCCAGATAAGTGTACTTGAAACTGCCTCTTTCACAGATCCCTTGGGATGTCATGAAAGATATTTCGAAATAAAACTTAATGATGTTCAGGAAGGCGAAGTAATAAGGTGCGGCCCCCTATGGAGGCCTAGCCCCGGATGCGAGGACCGGGGTGGCTGTCAACTGGCCTCCTAGGGGATGGGACCATATGTGATCCTAACGCTGGGCTCCTGGGTTCCCCCAAAGTGCTTCACACCGTGTAAATTCCTCCCAAAGACAGTCCTGCCTTCCTTCTGCAGAGGCACAAGCTCTCTCTCTGCCTCCTCCATCTCCGAGCAGGCCGTTCTGGTTCCACCCAGCCCTCCTCTGGGCCTCAGGTGATCAACTCATTTACACTTCATGCCCTCTTGGGGGGTCAGGAAGAAGGGCTCACTTCTCTATCAGCCCCATGGCTCATGTTCTGCTACAAATTTTTCTCAATACAACCATAGGAGAGCCTCTCCTCCACACCGCACCCCACAGCCCTACCCTGCCACTCTCCCCCACCCCTCCCCACATACACATCCCCACGCAGACAGGCTCAAAGGTGTGGTCCAAGCACCCATGAGTGGTGGGGAGCAAAGCCCAAGGCTCAAGAGAATGAAGGAAGTCCTGAACACTCACCAAGTGCAAGGTGTCAGCCTTCTGTGTCTGCCTCTGTCGGCTCTTCTGGGCAGCAATGCGATTTTTCTCCCTTCTCTGAACTTTTCTCACATCATCAGATGAGTCCTGGGAAGCAGACAAGATGGGAATGGGGTGAGTGGGCTCCTCCCTTCTTTTTTTTTTTTTTTTTTTAATTTTTAAAAAAAAAATTTTTCTTCAACGTTTTTATTTATTTTTGGGACAGAGAGAGACAGAGCATGAACAGGGGAGGGGCAGAGAGAGAGGGAGACACAGAATCGGAAACAGGCTCCAGGCTCCGAGCCACCAGCCCAGAGCCCAACGCAGGGCTCGAACTCACGGACCGCGAGATCGTGACCTGGCCGAAGTCGGACGCTTAACCGACTGCGCCACCCAGGCGCCCCTCGTCCCTTCTGAGTTAAAACAGGTTCTCCTGCCGTTCGGTATCTGTCCGTCCACCCGTGTGCATCTTTTCATTTGTCCATTCACTCCCTCCTTACCTAAAGGCTGGGCCCAAAAGAGAACCTTCCCCACACTCTGTCACGCTCTCTTACATCTATATAGGTATGCTGGCCAAAAGCTACAGGAAGAAGAAAAAGACCCTGGGGCCTAGATAGGGCTGTATTTGGAAAAAATTGGTTAAGGCGATGAAGTGTGTTTTATCACCTCTCCAGCCCTCTAGGGCTGCTCCACCCTTATTCTTTTCGGCCTAGAATTTTCTTGCTTTTTTTTTTTTTTTTTTCAAAACTTTGTTGACACCAGCAATGTGACGACTTCTGTGAAAATGCTTTTTCAGAGGTGCTCTTGCTTTTTTTAAAAAGGTTTTTTTAAATGTTTATTTATTTTTGAGAGAGAGAGAGAGAGAGGGAGGGAGGGAGAGTGGGGGAAAGGCAGAGAGAGAGAGAGAGAGACACAGGATCCAAAGCAGGCTCCAGGCTCTGAGCTGTCAGCCCAGAGCCCAATGCGGGGTTCGAACCCACAAACTGTGAGATCATGACCTGAGCCCCCCAGGCACCCCAGAGGTGCTCTTGCTTAATTCCTCAAATCTGTGGAGTTGATATTATCGTTTCTATCTTATATGTGAGGAAACTGAGGCTCAAAGGGCTTGCCCGAGAGTTCACAGTAAGCCAGGACTTACATCTTCTGCTGCTAAGTCTGATGCCTTTCCAAGCCACTCCCCACCCCTCACTGGTTTGTACCCATGTGTCTTCTGCCACATCGCTGGGCTCAGGTCCCATCCCAGATCAGTCTCTCTTTCCCCCTGCATTCCCTTCATTATGCTCAGTGACCCTGACATTCCCCATGGCTCTCAGCACAATGCCTAATACAAACTAGAGACTAAGAACAGCTTTAACTGTGGAGATTACCTGGCTGTGGCAGGTTGCTGATGGGTGCTTAGGAGGACAAGAGGACCTCTGGTGTCCTCTAAGTATGTCCCACAGATGGACATGTCCTCTACGTGGGCAGAGAGGTTAGCTCCAGCTGTCCCCCAAACACTGCAGGATAGGTGTAGGAGCCTGAGTAAAACTCTTCCACCACTCCTACCCTGTTCCCTCTCAGGTCCACACGGGACAGAGGAGCACTGTTCCTGGGGCAAGACCCTGTGCTCTCCAAGCATGTCTCACCAGCATGCCCAACACTTCCAGGCCATCGCAGTAGGAGGGCATCGGGTCAGATGGGAAGGAAGTGCTTTTCTCTAAGGGGCTGGGAACCCAGATTACCATGGAAGCCATGAGTAATTTCCTTCCTAAGAAGAGTACAGACTTCCAGGCAGCCCGAGCCACCCTGATACCATCTGGAGCAGAAGACTGGATTGTTTGCCCTCTAGAGGTCTCTGCTATGACGTCTCCCCACCTGGTGCTCTTCTGTGCGGTATTCATGACAGATGCTGTCTTAAATGTTTATATACTTTTATTTCGGCTGCAGCATCTTGAAAGCCCTCTTGGATGTCTATGCTAAGCAAAGAATGTGGTTTTTAAACCACAGAGTTGGGGAAGACATTTTAATCTCTTGATGTATTGGGTGAGAATGCAGAAGCCTTTCTATAGGGAGGGATGTCAAGGAAGGTGGTGAAGAGAAGTCTCCAAAGGTTTGGGGTCAGGGTGCCTGGGGGGCTCAGCTGGTTACACGGCAGACTCTCGGTTTTGGCTCGGGTCGTGATCCTGAAGTTCGTGGGGTTGAGACCCGCGTCAGGTTCCGCGCTGACGCTGTGCCCAGCCAGCTTCCGATTCTCTCTCTCCCCCTCTCTCTGCCCCTCCCCAGCTCACGGTCACTCTCCCTCAAAATAAGTTAAACTTTTAAAACATTTAAAATAAAATAAAATAAAATAAAATAAAATAAAATAAAATAAAATAAAATAAAATAAAATAAAATAAAAATAAAATAAAATAAGCTTCGGGGCTGGCAAGGGGCCCTCCTGTTGGCACCCCTCAAGCTGAAAACTTTTGACTCGGAAGTCACCATCTAGATTCCAAAACGCCCCCAGACTCTCTACCTCAATCGCTCTGCTTTCCCAAGAACTGAGCCGAGCTGAGCTAGAAGTGAGTGCGTCCGTCAGGTTCCAGTACTGCCTCCCGATTGACCCTTTCCTCCTGCCCAGCGGCCACAGGGGAAAGAAAGAGGCTTCGAGGCATCGCGACAGCGCCCCAGCATCGCTCTCCGCTGGCCGTGCCGGCGGCAGGGGCAGGGCCCCTGTAGGTCCTCCTGCGTCTGCTTCCCCCTCCGTCTAACTTGCTCTTTTTTCTTCTTCTCTTTTCCCCGTCGCCTCTCTCTCTCCCTCTCTCTCTCTTGCCCTGCTGGCTGCCCCCCCCTCCCCCCCCCCCCCCCCCCCCCCGCGACCCCACGCGCCGGGCCCGGGGTGCATGCGGCCTCTGTGATGCTGTGCCCCTCGGGTTTCTCCCGCCTTGCAGACAGGTGGACCCTCTCTCCTTGGAGAGGCCGGGGTTCTCTGATGCACATGCCCCTCCTGGCTTCCTAGAAAGCTTCGCGGGGTGAGGACCCGGCTGAGGCGGGGGGCGGTGGGCCCCGTCTGGAACCGAGAGGAGATGGGGCCCTGGTGGAATGGGTGCGGGACGAGGGTCCGCGGAATGGGTGCGGGACGAGGGTCCGCGCCGACAGGCGGCTGAATTGCAACCACCGTCCTAAGTCTGACGGGGCGTTCCTGCCACCAGCCACTTCCTCGCGCCCCGGGGCTCCCTGGGCAGCCCAAGCAGGCCTGGCCCTCCCGCTGCCCGCCCCCTCGGAGACGGAGACGGAGACGCAGAAGGTGGGTTGCAGGGAAAGGGGGACCCTACCTGCTTGCCCGGGGGAGGAGAGCGGCTGAAGCTGGAGTCGCTGCTGTCCGAGCTGTGAGGCATGGCTGCAGTCTTCCGGGCTCTCCACCCAGCCCCCGACGCGCCCGCGGGCTCTCTTGTCACCAGCTGGCCTCCCTTCCTGGCTGCTCCCGGGCCGCCAGTCCACCCCCCTGCACAGGTCCCTCCTCTGCCCGCCCTGCAGCCACCTCTGACCCCCGCGCGTCCTCCTCGCTCTGGGGTGCAGAGGCACTGCTCCCCACAGGGACATGTCGCTCGCTTTGGGGCTCGTGCGCGCGCGCTCTCTCTCTCTTGTGGTTTCTGGTAACTCACACTGGAAGTCACATGGGCGGAAACTTAAACAAGGTAGAAGTTAATTTGAGAGAAAATACATATCTGGGAAAAGACCCACAGAATTATATGAAAGGAAGACCAGAAAAAAAAAAAAATACACAAAACCCCAGATACCTTCTGACTGTTTGAAAGGCAGAACAGCTCTCCTCAGTTGATGGAGATAAAAGAGAAAAACAGCCCAGGCAGGGAAAAACCCCAGCCAGAATTAGCAAGTCCGTCTCCTGTCAACAGGGCAGAAAGGAGAGGGAAAGAGTTTCCATTGTCAGCCGACTTGATTTTTCAACCAAAATAAAGCAACGAGACTGGGATTTCTCTCTGGTTTTTACCCGAAAGCGGCGACCCATCCGTCCTGTGACAGGCCTCCCTCACCCCCCCATGCAGCCTGGTCCTTCCCTGACTGCCCACCAGAAGAGGCCCGGCGAGCTCTGGAAGCCACCGGCGCCGGCTCTAGAGTTGATGTCCCAAATGTCTAGGCGTCACCTTAGCAGCCGGTTGACTGAAGGGAAGAGATGCCTCTCGTGTTCAGAGTCTGAAAGACTCAAGCTCGGGACGGGCTTTGACTCTTAAGGATCCAAGGAGGTCACCAGGTCAAAGCCCAGAATGGAGGAACAGTAAGAAATCGCGAAATGAGCACCGCACTTGGAGTTGCGTTCTGGCGTTAGCAGGGTGCCTGTGGCCCTGGGGGTAGCTTCCCTGAACTCTGTGCCCCTCATCATCTCCATCTGTAAACGGAGAGCGGTAAAACCCGTCCTGCCCACCTCTCTGGGGGGCTGTTTCCAGAAGCAAATGATAGCAGGGATTAGAATGCCCCTGGCCTGTAAAAATAAACGCTGTGAAGACAGGTGTTACTTGTAGTGTTCTTAGCCTTGCTGGGAGCACGTTTGCAGAGTTCTCGGTGAGCAATCTGACATTCACCTGGGCATTGTGGCTTTTTTTTTTTTAATTTTTTTTTTAACGTTTATTTATTTTTGAGACAGAGAGAGACAGAGCATGAATGGGGGAGGGTCAGAGAGAGAGAGGGAGACACAGAATCTGAAACAGGCTCCAGGCTCCGAGCTGTCAGCACAGAGCCTGACGCGGGGCTCGAACTCACGGACCGCGAGATCATGACCTGAGTCGAAGTCGGCCACTTAACCGACTGGGCCACCCAGGCGCCCCGCATTGTGGCTTTTTTAAAAGCCCTTGCTTTCTTCCCAGCACGGCTGGAGGCCAAATGCTTGCCTTGCCTCCTCAGGATTAACAGGAAGAATGCCCCCCACCACCACCCCCCTCCCGAAGGATTTTGCATCCACCGGCTGGATTTCTGTCCTAAGACAATATTGTCCTCAGGCTAAACTGAGCAAAACAAAATTCCCTCCCTCCTGGAAGTTACATCTGAGTGGAGGAGGCAGGCGGTAAACGAAGAAGCTAATATACAACACATCAGAAGGTGACAGGTGCTGTGGAGAAAAATAAAGCAGGTGGGGGGTAGGGAATTCTGGGGGTCAGTGGGTTGCTGTTTCTACAGGGTGGTAAGAAAGGTCTTACTGAAAGGGGGGGGGCATCTGACCAGTGACTTGAAGGAAGGGAAGGAAGGGAGGGAACATTCCAGCAAGGACCCGAGGTGTGAGTGTTTGGTGTGTTAGAGGAGTAGCAAAGAAGTAGTGAGTGGCAGAAGATGATGTCAGCGGGTATCGGGGCGAGGTCATGTAGGGCCTTGGAGGCCACTATGAAGATTGGGGCTTTTATCCGGAAACAAATGGGGAGTCTCAGGAACACCACCTTCCCACCTCCACTCTGTGATTCTTTCCCATAGCCACTATTTGTGTCCTCGGCAGCACTTAGAAAATTTTGTCATCGTTTTACTAGTTTACTTAGGTTTTTTTGTTTCCCTGTTTCCCTCATTAGAGTGTTAGCTCCATTTATGAAGTTAATTCAACAAATGTTTATTGAGCACCTACCATGTACCAGGCAATGTTCTAAGTACCGGAGATACAGTTAATACTTTGACTTTTTCTCTGAACCAGATGGTGAGTCGGTTTGCTTTTGCTACCCAGCAAGCCACAGAAAAATCCAATGGCTTAAAACAACAACCATCTGGGGCGCCTGGGTGGCTCAGTCGGTTAAGCGTCCGACTTCAGCCAGGTCACGATCTCGCGGTCCCCGAGTTCGAGCCCCGCGTCAGGCTCTGGGCTGATGGCTCGGAGCCTGGAGCCTGTTTCCGATTCTGTGTCTCCCTCTCTCTCTGCCCCTCCCCCGTTCATGCTCTGTCTCTCTCTGTCCCAAAAATAAATAAACGTTGAAAAAAAAAATTAAAAAAAAAACAACAACCATCTATTTAGCTCATGAGTCTCTGGGTCCTCTGGAAGGCTTTTCTGGTAGAGGCTAGGCGAGGCTGATCTTAGCTGGGCTCTTTCGGTGTCCTCAGATAGCTGGTGGGCTGGCTGCTAATCCGATGGCCTTGCCTGGGCTGGCTCTGCTCCACATGATCTCTCATGGCCCCAGCAGGCTTGTTCATCGAGCTGTTGCAGGATTCCAAGAGTAAGCGCAGAGGCGTTCAAACCTCCTAAGTCCTGGGCACAGCCTTCCTTCCGCCACATTCTACTGGACAAAGAAAGTCACAAGGCCGGCCCAACTCAGCGGGTTGAGAAACAGACTTCACCTCTCAACGAGAGGGATTTAAAGAATTGTGGCCATTTCTGCAATCTCCCACAGGTGAGGAACCATTGGAGGTTTCAAAGCAGAGGCGTGATGAGCCCTAACATGGGTGGAGATCTTTGTTCCTCCTCTAACACACCGAACGAGATCTTTCTGGATGCAGTTGAGAGTTTACCGTCGGGGAGCAAAGCGGAAGGAGGGAGACCAGTCAGGATCCTGGTATTGGATTATCATTACTATTATTATTATTTATTATTGTTATTATTGCAACAATCCAAGTAAAAGGTGTCGGTGGCGTACATAGACCAGTGAAGCAGTGATGAGGGTGATAGGAAGGGAGCCATGTAAAAACCAGTGACTGTGTCTCTCTTGTTTATAATCACACGCCCAGTGATAGTAGGTGCCTGATCAATAGTCGTCAAGTAATGTATGAACAAATCCCCTTAGAACTTTGCTCGTACTTGGGGCACTTATCACTTCCTTCATTGTCCTAGATCTTTTCTCACCCTTGTGTACAGAAAGCTCTATAAGGATAAAAATCGTCATATTCATGTTTCATTCTGTTTAATTTAACGTTTATAAATACCTAGTATGTAGCAGGATCATAAATAGGAATAACACAGAGGCCCTGCCCTCGTAGAAAGAAGGGGGAGTAGTGAACCACACAATGTTCAGATGAAGTTCTTTGCTCTTTGAACATTCTATCGTTCAATAGTAAATACCTGCTGAATGAATGATTGCTTGACTCTGTGGTTCCAAATCAATACACTGAGTTAATATTTATTTAAAAAACATTTTTTAATGTTTATTCATGTTTAAGAGACAGAGGGAACAGAGTGTGAGCAGGGGAGGGGCAGAGAGAAAGGGGGACAGAATCCCAAGCAGGCTCTGGGCTCTGAGCTGTCAGCACAGAGCCCGACGCGGGGCTCGAACTCCCTGACCTCGAGATCATGGCCTGAGCAGAAGTCAGACACTCAACGAACTGAGCCACCCAGGCGCTCCAATATACTGAGTTAATATTTAACGGAGACTATATACAAGGAAAAAATAGAAAATTAGTTCTTATGTAGAAAGGCAGTCTCTTCAATAGTATTCATTTATAAATTATTTTTACATATTTAAGATCAAGGAATAGACACTTGTGCATCCACCATTAAGCTTAAGAAATAAGTTCTGAATAGAGCTGAAGTCTCCCGTATATCCCTTCCTAACCTCCTTCCCTCTCCACCCAGCTAACCATTTTTCAGAATATGGTCTTAATATTCCCATACATTTCTCTATACTTGAACCATATCTATACATACACCTGAAGCAATACAGTGTTGCATGCATGATTTTAAGCTTTTTATATTGTTAATATTTTTACATTTAATTTTTATGTTTTATTACACAGTATCTGAAAGATCATGGCAAGGCTTGGGATACAGGCACCCCCCTGAGATTATTCTGGACAACTCCACAAAGCCACCAAGTAACAGCTGTACCACAGCCAGTGTCCTCTCAGTTAATATCAGCCCAAAGCCTCCGGACGATGCTAAGGTAGCATTTGCGAGACAGTTAAATCCCTTATGTTGACAGCTAACACATATCAGGACAGTTGGTGGCTCATGCGTGGTACAATTTAGAAAACAGTGCCACCTCTTGGTAGGCAATCTCAGGCCAAAGGACATGGACTGGTGAGCCCCTATTTGACTTGCAATGCTGGGGCTCTTTAACAGTGAACAGTTCGGACAACTGTGCTCTGCCACCCTTGCTATATTCACTTACTATGTGCCCAGACACACAAATGGACTCATTTAATTCTCACAATATTTCCTCCCATTTTATGGATGTGAAATCCTGAGGCACAGAGAAGTTAAGTAACTTTTTCAAGGTCACACATGGCAGCTGACTTCCCTAGCACGATCAATCCGAGAGAGAGAGAGAGAGAGAGAGAGAGAGAGAGAGAGAGAGAGAAGGGGAGAGAGAGGAGGAGGAGGGCGTGGCAGTGCCTTTTATGACCCTGTCTCCCAAAGCTTCTGCTTTGTTATATTTGGTGGAGGTGAGACCCTAAGTCCAGCCCACACACGAGGAGGCAAAAGAGCCTCCATCTGTTGAAAGGAGAAATATTCCAGAACTTGCAGACCTTTCTGAAAACCACCACACTTCCCGAACTGATACTTGAGGGGACATTTAGCTGGATGCAAGCAGCCCGCTGTGAGACCAGGTGGGAGTCAAGGGGGTGTTTGGCTCCTAGCCCTGCCTCCAATTCACTTTATGACTTTAGGAAGGCCCCTCCCC